GTTACCCATGTGTGGCTAAGCGTGCGCTGCCACCGCTGTGGCTGAGGGGTAGGGGCGTGCACATGGTGGCCATGTAGGGCCGACGCTAGACGATGACCGACTGACTCACTGGCGACAGACGCACAGCCGGAAACCGACCAGACCCTTTCGTTCATTTAGTTGGTTTTTTTTATCATTTCATTCTTTGTATTTTATTTATTTTTTTTTTCTTCTTTGTCTAAAGAAAAATTTTTAAATCCTCGGCGGCGAGGAAAAAGAAAAAAGAGTTTCATGAATGATCGAAAGTACGTAAAACAACTTTGACTTTTGATGTGATTCCGTTTCCGTAAGCTCTCTGGCTCGTGTACCGTTCCTGCGTCGGTGATGAGACGTACGGTCCGCATGAAATATGAGTATGGGTATTAAGGACCGGTTTGTGTTGCTGACGTTATGAAAATATTCTTTAATCTTCTTGACAACAGCACAATACATATGTGCAAAGACACATTCTACCGTTAAACTCTCTGTTTACTAATAGACGTTGTAAATCAGAAATTCATCTCAATTAGATCAGTTTTTTATTATTCAGCGGTAGACGAGCAGAAAGGTAAGCAACCCATATTATTCTTTCCGAACGTTAATAATTGGCTGTTTTGTGCAATAGAACTCTCAATCAACCTTCGGTCGGAAAAGTATTCCCCTTTATCTCTTCGGTCTAAAAAATATATCCCTGGAGTAAGCTGGAGTGACTGTACGATGAATAATACCCGCGTTAATTGCAGATTAAAAATACGGTATCCAGAACGGTATTTTTTCGGTAATTTATCAAAGCGAACAGTGGTTTATGATAATTTTGCAAAACGGTATCCAGAACAATACTTTCGGTAATCCATCAAAACGTTGCCTACAACAGCGCTTCACGGCATTTTTAACGGCGTCGGCAAACAAAACGCGTCACGTATCACACACTTGCTATGCTGATTTTTTTCCCAACCAGGCACGTACATTATTCCCTATTTAATTATTCTTTTGAGCAATACAAATCAAAATCTACATTCCTGAAAAAAAAACAACCGAATCAAACAACAAATAATAGGTTTTCTTAAACAATAAATTTTCTTGCAACGAACGCCTTGGATTAGCCCTGAGTATACTCCGGCTATAGAAGGGGGAACCCTGAAGTGGAATCGTTACAAGTTAGAGTTGTCTTAAACTTGCCGAAGTATAATATATTGTGTGGAGTCTCAAAATAATAAAATTTATTAAAAACAAAATAAAGTAAATAAACGAATACATTCAACACTGCCGAGTTCCACGCCGGCAAACAAAAATTTAGTTTTTACAGAGTGGAACTAAAGAAACAAAACGAACGAAGCAATTTGTTTTTGAACAACCGTGATATAGGAGAAAGGAAGGAATAGGATTTAAAGCCGTAAAAAGAGTACAAGTTCGCAGCAAAAAAGAAAAAGTTTGATTTTGATTTCAAGGTTTGAAAAAAACCTTATAATAAAAACGAAATCTTTTAAATTGCAATAAATTAAAAATATTTTGAACAAAATGTCGATATTTAAAATGTTTGTGAACAACCGGTAACAATATCTTAAGAAGATAAATGAAATAATTTAATATAACCTATGAAATGTTCAAATCTATCTTCTTTGCGTGAATTTTAATGTACAGTGTGATTGAAAGAAGTACAAAAAAAAAATGAAATCAATTTCAAAGTTTTATAAAACAAAAGTTTATAAAACATGTAAGAATAGTAACCTATACGTATATCAGAAAATAATAAAATAAATGAAAGCATTAATATAATAACAGCCTTATAGATGTATAAGTTTTCAAATGTCCTTGTGACTATGGAACTCTATGGAAATTAAAAATTTTATTCGCAATGAAGGAAGTGTTATACTAAATTTTGTCTTTGCTCGAGATGAATATGTAAAGAGAGAAGAGGAGGAGGCTGCAATAAAGAAAGGTGTTCTTTTCTTGAATGGAAAGCCTATTTTGCATAAATAATACACCGGGACGTAGCCACATGGAGCAGGGACACCAGCAGAGCATGACCCGGACGGACAGACATGTGTACGCAAGGGACACGTTTTCCACCATTAGCTAGTGGGAGCCAAAATAAGCCCCTTGCCAATCACACTATACATAGTACGGTAAAACAAGAAAATAAATTCTTCAACACCTACGGCTATGAAAGTTAGGGACAACATATAATCTCATCACTGTAAACCTGTTTGGTATTCAACTAGTTATTAAACATGGCGATGAATACAGCTATGAACTTGAAACTATCTTCAACAATTTCTCGAGACATACAATAACGAGAAAAGAACTTATAGAAGTCTTTGATCGAAACATTAAGAAAATATCTCAGTCCAAATGTTATAAACGGTCCGTGCAATAAAGAGCAAACTATGGGAATAATCCACAAGATTTCAGGGATTATCGTATATTACTCTCTCAAAGTATGATAAAGAACATAGCAATTGAAGAACAGCAGAGAAAAATTACTTGCTAAAGAAAATCGGCTACAAATTTTTGCAAAAACATTTCTTTCCAAATAAGTCAGCTACAATTAAAAAAATAGTTAATAACTGTACAACATGTAAAGAAAGCAAATGCCTATTTCAACCCATAGGGGGAACACCTTACATATCGATATTTTTCCAGCAGAAAGACATTTTATTCCGGCTGCGATAGATAAATTTATCAAATTCGTAATAACAAAATTGACGAAATTACGCGCCGTTGGTCACATTAAGGGACCCTTATAGGACATTCTGCTTTACTTTGGCCCCCTAAAATGATAGTAATTGATAATAAAAAGGCCCTTCAATTTGCTCCTATTTCTAAGCTTGAATCTTAAAATCAAAGTCTACGGCACACCGACATACAGGAGCGTGATGAATGGACAAATCGACCAATTTCAATCTACACTGTGTCGTGGTAGTTCAAATAGAACATCGTCCCAACAATACCTTACAAATTTTTATATTTATATATTTATATTTTCATATTTTTTGTTGTCAACTTAGCTTTGTATAAAAAAAAAAAACATGTCTTTTTGATCGGAACTAGATTGTGAATTTTTTTTTGGAGAATGGTAGAAGCAAAATAAATTGCTTTTTTTAACAAGAGTGGCTTGAAAAATTTGTTTGCAAGCAACGGTTATTTATCAAATTAGTTGTGCTGCAATCACTGGTTGCAAAACTGCCAGTGTAATAAAAAATCATAATGGTCATTAACTTAAGCGGCAGACACAACGACATTGGCACGCACATGCGTATATTATTGTTGATCCTAATTTCCAATTCATTTGATAATCACTTCATCAAGGATAAGGACTAGGAGCAATTCATCAACAAAAAGAAATCGCATTGTAATATATTTTTTCGTCAACACCAAACGAGTGATAATTGGTAGCCGACAATATAATATGAACAAATATGTATATATACTAAAAGATTTTTTTTTATTAATTGAGCTTTTGTTTCTAATTTTTTTGCGATATTACTACTAAAGGAGCGTTTCTTACTTCTTCTGGATTCAACCACCGCAGAGTTAAGGTAAACCATGCGTAACAATCCGATATAATGGTCTAGTCAGGGGCCGTGTAGCTTGGTATTTTAGTGCAGTACAAGGTGAACAAGCAGATTAACCCAGACGTTAGACTGCAATACGAATTATCGGATTACAATCTTGTAATTCAATCATAGGGATTTAATTAGTATCTTTATTTATTATATAAGAGGCAAGTTTTAAGATAAACTCCATTTAGCAAAGAGCAGAACGGATATAGGAAATTTTTCGATAGGGAATATTTTCATCTTTACAATATCTATAGCCCACAAATGCGAATTCCACAAGAGACGAGTTTTTTCCGCGACTAAATCTTAACAATTTTCAGTCAATTATATAGTACTATTATTTAAGATTAAATTTAGATCTGGAAATTACGGCAAGTTTATTTAATTTTTATCCAATACAATTTATAATCCTAATACGATCAAGTATTTGAGACCAGTTGATAGTGTTAAATAAATTTAGGTTTTAAACAATACTCTTACGAACCAAATGTAAAACTTTTACGTGCTTTTGGATGCAATTCAAACTGAAATTCAAACAAAGACTTATTAGTAGAGATGTACTATTTTTTGAAAACAATGAAGTTGTTTGAAGAAAAGGATAAGACTTTTTGTCGCACATTATGAGAAATTAATGAGTGTACCAATTCAGAGGAGAGTATTGCCTACGTTGAATCGCTACCGAAAAAAAGAGCAGACATCGAAGGTAATTCAGATTATAAACAATATAACCACGGCCAATAAAACTTAATGTAAAATCTGCACGCTCAATTCTCTTGAAATTTTAATTCCAACATAATGAGTGTCTTTTTTTCAAATGGGAACAAAAATGGGAAAAGCGAGCATTCCTTGAAATGTGTTTTTCTACTCGTGCTACATCATCATACACTTGTTTTATTATGGCAATATCTATCTAATCTTCGCATTACCTTCCTTTTCCTTGAAAATTAATATGTTGTTGAAGGTATCATTGCTGAAGAAACGCAAGTAGTACAGAGCCGACGTTCCGCAGGAAATGCAAGCAAAGCGAATCCGAACTCCAATGAGCAAAGAAGTCATAAGAAATAAATAGAACTTCAAGCGAAAATCTACAAGTGGAATTGGTAGCGTGGGCTGTATACAGCAAAATGTGTAAACTATAATGAAACCAATGCGCCTCTATTGGCTTTAATTGTTGTCCAGGAAGGGATATGTAAATTATTAATTTGCTTCTAAGGCCTTAAACACTCGGGACGTGTCTGGAATGAAACGCTCAATGCTAAACTACTTAGCTTAAATTTGTCAAAAAGGGAGGGTAAGCAGTGCGTTTGATATAAGATGAACAAAGATGAAAAAATTTTCGTAGCTGTTTTTGTAGGTGATATTGTAATATTCAGCAACAATTCAAGCAGCTTGAGATCGTTAGCAGGGGAGATACGTAAAGTATTTAAGATTAAATATTTAAGAGACGTGTGAACAATTGACATTAACACGTCTTGAAGAAAAAATTGATTCTAATACCACATCTCTCTAGGGATAGAACTTCTTTAATTAGTAGTTCTGACAGTTCTGACAGGTGTAGTATATGTGCTGATGCATTTATTCAACATATCTTATTTTTATTAATCGTAGTCCCATCGGAGAGTCGTTGTGTTCCATGCGTTTAAGCTTTAGCCGTGGGCTAAAATGGCGTGAACTGCGCTGTTTGTAAACTGACCTTTTGTTGTGCCGGTGTTTTGGACAACAAATTTTTTGTCTACGCCAAAAACACCACCTTTAAATGTACTTGCACTAGTTGCGATAAGGCTAGGATAGAGAAGGCATTATCTTACAAATTAAAAATGGTTTCTCAAAGTTCGAAGCTAAATTTAATGGGAGCTTGGAAAATAGTCTGATAATTCTAGAGAAAAAGATATGCGGTATCACGCAAGACATATACCCCGAGACTTTGCAACACAGCGACCAATTTTGTATGGAATTTCGTGGGTATTAAAAACTTAACACCGCAATAATAGACCTATAACGAAAGCACATCTTCTCTCATAGTTTAAATGCTAGGACCAATTAACGTACAACGTGAATGCTTTAATATTACTACTTCTCGCAAATGTTGGCATCTGAAAACACCAGTATGAGGTAACACTACCAAAGTATATAAAAAAAAAATCTAGCCGCGTTAGTTTTACGAATTAAAAGCAAATTCTTCAACTTTTCCTCATCTGTCGTCGAACACGGGGCAAAAAAAATCTTCGTGACTAATTTATAACATGCCCCTTTCCATATAAGATTATAAATCTTTACTTAATCCTAATAACGAATGACTCTCTTAAATTTCATCTATTACTTATGTACTAGAAAACGTTCATTTATAATTGCATGACACTTTTATCTCTTGGTTTGTTCAAATCACCGTAAGTACATTACATACTAATTAGTAAACAATTGCTTAATTTGCTCATTGCAACATGTGAGACAATTATTATGGTATATGATAATTACATATAAATATTTCGACGTACTTCTATCAAATTTTCATAATTAACTCTACTTGAGCAACTTCTTAAAAACTATCGAATTTCATTTAATTGGGTTAATATTTAATCAACATAGGTTTAGAATTATTTTCGTGAAATAGAGACTGAAAAAAGATTACCTTAAAGTCGCAAGGAAGGATTGCGAAGACATATTTCGCCGGATCTCCGAATAAACATTGTTGGTTATATGTAATTGTACATTATTACACATAAAATCCCCTGTTGTCAATGAGCAGAGGGCTGCAGAGTATTTGCGAATTTTATGAATGAAACGAACTGCCATGTTAGCTGTTTGTCGATAATTCTTAAATAATCAGTTAAACCGTCTGCTTGGTCCAAAAAATGTCTGCTTCTGAATTCCACGAGCAATTTTATAAATGTGGGCAAACAATTTATAGTGTTAATGAAGTTGCAGATATATACTTTTCACGGCAATGACTGTTCAACTGTTTTATGTGAAACTACGAAATGTTTCAGATAACTCCTCTTAGACTCTCAGGATATATTGAATTTAAATTTTTCGCACTTCAGGTTACGGTCTCCTAGTGCATGTTCTTATCAAGCCGTAGGTACATTTACTTTTGCTTTCTTTCTCGTACGAAGTTTTCATTTCTTTAAAATATGCCCATTTGCCGTAAGCAGCCATGTTGAATATCTGCTCGCCTAGCGAAGCGCCCATTAGCGCAAGCTGCGTTCATCCCGTAAGATTATATCATGAATTTCAATCAACGTGCACAGAAATTTGAAGGGCGAAAGAATGAAGACTACGGCACATACCGATAGCAGATTACTCTCCATATATTTTTCTTAAGCCTTTTAACTGCAACTATAAAATTTTTATAAAAACTTCCATTCGTCTTAAAAAAATACAGAACGCCTACTTTTAAATGCACGCACGATAATTAACGTAAGGTGTTGTTAATAAGAAGAATTAAAGGAGTTTTTTTTTTTACGATTGCACAAAACGAATTTTGTTCCTGGTTCTTCTCTTCTTTTCATTTATCACACTGCAATAATGTTCTGACCGGTAAAACAAAATTACGCAAACGCGAGGATGACAGCAAAATTAGTAAACATTTCGTAAGACTAACAATGAAGGCAATAACGCAGAGTGCACAAAATAATGCCTCCACCGTAATTTCGTTCTCTAAAAATATAAAATCCTTAAAATAATCTCCATAAATTTTCAACATTCACAAATTACTAACCTCAAAATTTTTGTTGCTTGCTATTTGCCAAACATTTGTCGAACAAATTTTGTGTAATTTGTTCAAATACATTAAATCGCTTCTTTGTATTACCATGAATACAATTATGGCACTTTTTTGGCGTTTGATCTTTTCAGAAAATTAGGGTTTGAACAATTAAGGCGCAAACACAATTCTTGCTTCTTCGCTTTATTAAGTGTGTTTTGTTTCAAGCTATTTTGCAAAGACATTGTTCATGCAATTAATTTAGCATTTTATCAGTTTATGCGCACTAGACATATGAATTTACTTTAACAATAAGTTACCTTATGCGTAGGTTTCAATCATACACAATGCAAGCGTTGTGCTCGCACTTAACACAATCTTCGCGGTTTTATGTACACAATTGGGCGTTCTTTGCTACATGCCACATCACATGTGCTACAAGAATTTTTCAACCATTTACAATGAATCTGTTACAAAAACGGCATGAAACGGAACAGATTCAACCACTTTAACACAACCAGCAGCTATTAACTGGTAACGTTGACTACAATTAAAGAGGTGAAAGCATTGAACACAAAAACCAAATTTCGCGTTTTATATCATTGTGAGTGTTTATTTGAATATGAATACTGCATCGATGCAAATATTTGGAAAAATTTTCAAATTTCTGCGTGCATCACCACCGACAATCAAAACAGTGACGTATTTATCAAAACAAAAAACAAAAGAAACATGGTTACTATTTTAAGCACAATACGGTTTTAAAATAATCATTTGAATTTTTATTTACTATCAATTTTATTGTGGAGAAGAAGAAAAAGTGAATTAGATTAATTGGTATAAATTTAAACCAAATTAATTAAAGTGAAACTAAGTTGTGTGACCAAAGTTGAATTGACTGAAAAAAAGGGGGCTAATAAACACAGCGTACAACAAGGGCCTAGCATTAAAAGCAAAGAGCTGGAAAGCTCCAAAGAAATGAGCGTGTTCAGTAAGTATAGTATGAAAAAGATATAATCAGTTGATTTCGGCTTATATATTTTCCAGACGAAAATTGCAAAGATAGAAGACGTTAAAAAGCACTTTACCAGGGGCATTCATATTCAATTCAATTTAATTCAGGCAGTTCTTACTCTTCTGAAGGATCTAAATGGAAAATAGACGACACTGCATTTTTTAGGAGATTTCATAGCGTTGAAGGTAAGCATGTGTATTAGTATTTAAATAACATGTCTTTTTACAGAGCTGGAACACTTTTGAACATTAAACCGTCCGTAGAATTGATTCCTATTAATAATTCTCAGAACAGCAGCAAAAGTAATTTTGGAAGGATATCTGGAACTTGCAAATAGAGGAACGGAAATCATAAGTTTTTGGAAGTAATGTGCAAATTGACGGATCTAGTGAAAAAATATTTGCAAGGAAGACAAAGAGAAGAAGAAAAAGAGAGAAAACGAGAATGGCAACCAATTCGAAACGTTTTTAGGATCACCAACGAGGGTGGCACAATTTGAAGATGAGATTGTTAAACAGTGCAAACAGAAAAATGAAGGAAAAGCGTACGGATGAAATAAATTTCAATTATACAATAATATTGGTCTCACTTTGTTACTACTATCCATAAATTTCCAATACAACACATGGCAATCCTGCCAAATCCAGCCACACATTAAATTTTATGGCAACAATCCTGCGAACTAGGCAATAACCTGTCAATTTTTCCCCAATTTTTTCTCAATTTTATAGAATTTGTATACGGAAATTATTGAGTACGAATATACACATTAATCTCGCATCGATGAGGCTTTTTTATAAAGAGCTGTTGAATGATTGAGAACGAATATGCGTTTATTTTTTAAAGGCCCACAATACATGCAAAATTCTTGATAATTGTATACGCTCATTTTTTAAAGGCCTACAATACATGCAAAATTAATGAGAACGAATATGCGTTTATTTTCTAAAGGCATTCTCAATTGTATGGAATTTTTATTTTCTCAATTATATAGAGAGGCTTTTTTATAAAGAGCTGTTGAATGATTGAGAACGAAGTCGGCAAATTTTTTGATTCCACGGAACAAACTTACGATCCTACCTTCGATGCTGCCACTCTTTTAATTTTTGATTAACATCTTTACGTCATGCTGCTAAAACCCTGCCATTTTTCGCTTTCCAAATATTACACATATATCCGAATAGACGCACAAGGTCCAAAGAAAATACTTCAAAAGACAACAAAGAAAAAGGGGCAGGAAATCACGCACATCCTAGGACAAAAGACTGAACTATTTTAAACACTAATGCAGCAATCAATACCTGGGCACACTGCATTCAATTATTGGTTAGAAATATGCAAATTGGAGAAGTGGCTCGATGACCGCAGAAACTAATTCAAAATGTTTCTTATGCATATAAATGTGTCAGATATTAAAAATTTTGAAAATAATATTTCAACTATTTATATAAAAGATAATATATATCTAGTAATAACAATCGCCCTTATATATGTACCGTTTAAAATCTTAAAGCATTTGCAACAAAAAAATAACATCATATACAAACGCATATCAAATGCAAACGATTGATCTTAGATTTGTAGAATATACAGTTCACATAAGGAAAATCTACATTTATATATTAATAATAACAATTTTATTCTATACAATTTGTAAAATAAGTGTTCACAAAAACCGGTATGCAAACAAAAAAAAAACTATAAATACTATTTCAACATAAACGTAATTAAACGAATTTCATAAACCCCTACAAATGGAAAGGATAGACAGATAAATATTTCCATAGATGGGCTTAAAATTAATATAAAAAAGTTAGGTAAAAAAATCTACGCACAAGAAACTATAGAAAACAAACTAGAAGAAATAAAAAATTGTAAGGAAAGAGTTAATATAATAAAAGAAGGAAGAAGAACAGACAGAGAGCAAAGAATTATTAGGCAAAGAACAAACCAAAATAGAAGATAAAGCAGAATAATCATTACAAAAACAACAAAGCAGTATAAAAAATAAAACCGTACCACTCTTTTCAGGCGGCTATAAAGCACTTAACGCCTTCTAAAAAATAGCTGAAATAATTCACAACACGCTAGCCGCAGAAACAAAGGCGCTTGTCATAGCAAACTAAGCTACTATAATGTTCATACGTCTCTCACATCCACTGACACCCCAAAACCGTTTAAGGATTAAAACCGAACTAGAAAATAGGTATAAATCAAACATTGCAATACTCCAATGGCATTCTTTGCTTAGCCAAACCACACAAAGCGGTAATATAACTGATTACAATGATAAGATTTGGAATATTATTACCGAATTCAATAATGTTCAAATAAAAGGGCCGGGTACAAATGCTAGTCCCGAACAGAACTATATAATCACAAACATCAACGAAACTTATGCCCTTGGTATTTTTAAGAGCGGCGTTGACGATTACATGAAATCCACTATATATTAGTTTGGGGAAAAAGAAATCCATTATTTTTTGGTAGATGACTGCACTGATCAAACAATTTCCGATACTGTACATTTACATACTGTACATTTCGCAGTAAAAAAAATTCTTTTGCTGTTTTTTGTTTGGTGCATTCAGTTGTGAGTTACAGCGTGTTAAAAATGGAAGTGAACAAAGAGAAAATTC